CGGGGCTGCAGTCGGCTCGGAAAACCGCCGCCGAGCCTGACTGCCTTTGGGGAGGGAGGGAAACGCGGCGCCTCCCGTGGCCGGGGAGTCTCGGTTCCCGCCCTGCCTGGTCCCGCGGTGTGCAGGGAGAAGCCTGGAGCAGCTGCGGTCCCGGCCCTGCCGGCCTGGGGGCCTGCAAAAGGGATCCTCGCATGACAAGGAATGCTTAGAGCCAGGGTAGGCCCTCTCGAGTGTCCCCTGCCATGGGGAGAGGCCTCCTGTGATTTCACAGTGTTTGATTTCAGATACTGGAAGACCAGACTAACAGTTACCCAGAAGCTGTTTATTCTCTCTAAGTGTTTCTTTCGGTTCATCGTGCCAGACTTAGAAGCGTTGTGCTTTGGAATCTGAGAACTACGATAGCTGTTTGAAATGGGACTTGCACCGCCTTGAACACTGCCTGCCAGAGTAACCGAGTCAGTTTTTGGAGGGAACCTGTGCTCTGTCTTGTTACGCCTGAATGCCATGTGCTCTGTACGTCGAGGCCTGTGAGATAGCAGCAACCATCCTTTATTTCCAGGCTTAGAGTCATAGAATGGTTTGGGTTGGAAGGGACCTTTAAAGGCCATCTAGTCCACCCCCTCCTGCAATGAGCAGAGACATCTTCAAGTAGATCAGGTTGCTCGGAGTCCTGTCCAACCTGATCTTGAATGTTTCCAGGGATGGGGCATCTACCACTTCTGTGGGCAGCCTGTGCCAGTGTTTCACCACCCTCATTGTAAAAAATTTGTTCCCTATAGCCAGTCTAAATCTGTTCTTCTTTTAGTTTAAAACCATTACCCCTTGTCCTATCGCAACAGGCCCTACTAAAACATTCTGCAATTAAGCTGCAGCCTAACGTCATCTTCTTCTGTAGGCCACTGAATCTTCTGTTCTTACTTTTACAGTGCACCAGATTCTGCAGAAGAGCCTCATGGTGCTCCTTCTGCAGAATACTCTGTAACAACATAGTCAGCTCACAATCTGGCAGGACAGTTCATTGAGAGTGCTCCTGAGGGATCCTCACAACAGGGCCAGATGAATTGTTTTGGCAGCATCATCCTGGTGCCATCTTCCACTGAGCTTAGTGGCTCTTCCCCAGCTGCAGGGGCCTCACTGCCCATGCATTGCACAGCATGTCCATACATCTACCTGTCCTCCAGGAAAGGAGGTTGCTGGGACCAGGCTGCATGAATTGTACACGGTAGCCAGTAGTTTCTTTTGTGTCTGCCCTTGAGTTTTTCTCAGGAAGAAGGCTATGTGGAATAGGCTTTATGGGCAAGTGGCCTAGCCTCGAGCAGTCCTTTTTACAAGGAGAGTGCCTGTGTGTAGGTGTCTATACACAGGTAGAAAGTCACCTGTACTAGATACCTACATACAGGTGCTGTCTTATACCTGGAGTGTGTATAAGGCTTGTATGCAACTCGCGTAGTAAGCCTTATGCATACAGATGGTAGGGACAGCACTTCCTCACATGTGGTGTCAGTGGCTCTGTGGTGGAAGAGTCATGGGTTCTGACCTTCCATTGCCATTAAAACAGGCTGGTTGGTCTGCATCACCTTTCTGGCTGTTTCTCTATTGCAGTACTACTTGTTGGGAATGGTTTCTGCATCCTTTAGCAAAGAGGAAACTTGAGCCTTGGTTTTCTACCTCCTGGGTATATTCCACCATTAGGTTAATATGTGAGAAATGTGCAGTACCTCCATATCTTTTGCCCATGTCTTAGAAGCAAGTATCTGCATGTGTATTTGGAAGCCTCTGCACACAGCCTGCAGCTGTCATAAAGATATTTTGAGTAGCTATATGATAGGGGAAGAAAAATACATAGGTGTGCATAGTTAACTTCAAGCAAGTGTGAGCTCACTCTACCCGCAGCCAGGCTGATAACTCAGGCATAGTGCCACACTAGTGTCTCTTGGCCAGCATCTAGGCACAGCATGGGCAGAAAGCTCATGTTTGCTTGTGGTCAAATAGCCAAATCTAGCTTTTTTCTTTCTTTTTTTCCTTCTTTCTGTATGTTTTTCTTTCTTTCTTTCATTCTTTTTGCATCCTGTACATTCTTGTCAGTGTGCTGGATGCAGATTAACTAGGTGCTGTCAAGGATGGGCATGACACGTGTTGCTTTAAGGCTGCCTTAAGACTTGAGGTGTTTCTGGAAGATTTTCTGGAAACACTGAACAGAGGTTTCCAGCGTAGTGATACTGGACTGAAATGCCTGTGCTGCATTGCTTTAGTTCTGTCCTCTGCCTCCAAACATCAGAAAGCTCTTGTGCCTTTGAAGTAATCTCATATTAGAAAAGTAACAGTTATTTCCTATGTGTTTCTTGTTGCTATGGTTAAAATCCCTCAGTGTTGCCTTGCCACCTATTAGTTCCAGTCTTCAAAAGTGACATTTCATCTAAGTGGAATTTTGGGAGGTGAAGAAAATTATGAAGTTCAAATTTCTGATTGTTCTGACATATTTGGGGAACAGCAAGGGACTACTCTTTTTTGAAAGAATGGGTGCACAGTACTACTGAAATACCTGCATAGCAGAAAGCAGACTTAAATACCACTAGCAATATATTTATTTGGATTTGTTTTGCTATAAGAGCCCCTATACTTTTTCGCTTGACTCTTTGAAAACTGAGTATTGCAGATGGTAGTAGGAACAGGGCAAGGAGAGCCTGCAGTTCAGCAAGCCTAGTTGTCAGTACTTGTGAGCAAAAACAGTTTGCAAAGGCACCTGTTCCTCTTCCCCCCTAAATGTCACAGAGTGGTTGAGGTTGGAAGGGACCTCTGGAGGTCATCTGGTCCAACCCCCTGCTCAAGCAGGGCCACCTAGGGCAGGTTGCCCAGGACCACATCCAGACAGCTTTTGAATATCCCCAAGGAAGGAGACGCCACAGCCTCTCTGGGCAACCTGTGCCAGTGCTCGGTCACCCTCACAGTAAAAAAGTGTTTCCTGATGTTCAAACGGAGCCCGTTGTGTTTCAGTTTGTGCTTATTGCCTCTGGTCGTGTCACTGGGCACCACCGAAAAGAGCCTGGCTCTGTCCATTTTCTTTACACTCTCCCTCCAGATATTTGTACACATAAATAAAGAAGTGTTGTAGAGCCCTGGCCTGGGGCTTCAAACATGACCAGTTTGTGGACAGTGTTAGCTCATGTCTCACTGGGTTCTGTGCTTCGCTGCAGGCTACCACTGATCATCCCAGGGAACGTAAATGAAGAGTTGAGTGAGGTTGTGCGTCTAGCGGAGAGAAAGAGGGAGCATTCTTTATGGCATGTCTGGGTAACCAGTAAATGCTGTGATGCCTGAGAGTAATAAATACAGTGCCATAAATACATGGCAATCAGTCCTTCCACAACACTGACTCAGCAGATTGAACATCAAGATCCTGGTATTGCAAGATGTGTGTTTTCATTTTCAGATTATTCCTCTCCTGTTGCACAGTCTCTTCCATAGGTTTGAATGCAGCTTTTAAAACAGCTGAGTTTCTTGCTCCCGTTATTTTAGAAGATAGTTTTAGCAATTTGCTGTGCTGTTGGTTTGACATGTTCTAACTTCCAGTCTTAATCACATAGCTAACAAAAAATTAATCTACATTTAGCTAGTGTCTGAAACTTCCCTCTCCCAACCAGATATTAGGAAGTTATGAATGTTTATCAAACGTTGCAGATAAACAATTTCTAAAGTTGTTGTTCTTGAGGCTTTTGAAACTATTAATCAAGGGAAATTTATTTCATGGATTATATCAAGTAAATCTTAATCTGTTACATTTATCTAAAAATGCTGTTTAGTTGGCATGTGCATAGGTTTCATTTTTAAAAGTTAATAAAAGCATTGCAGTGTTTGAACGTCAAGTCAGAAAATGTGACAGTAAAGTTAAACCCCATCTTCGATGCCTGGTCTGTCATTCGGTTTTCATCTGTATCAGTTAAAATCTACAAGAGAAAATTACATCCTTGCAGTGATGATAATGCTTGAAATACTAAACTTCTGCATGTTAAAAAAATCTTATTTAAGGATTTACAGTTACCGTAGGTTAAGGTTGGACTGTTTTGGACAAGTGCAGAACAGCCTTCTTGTTTTAAAACAAATTATGTTGCTGTTAAGCGTTCTAACTGAACAAAAAGGCAAATTATTAGAAATATTTGAAGGAAGCAATGATAGTGGTTTTGTGAGGAGAGTCAATGACTTAATTCCCATCAGAAAGTCTTGTGTGCATTGTACTAAAGACCTTGAAGACACAAAGTATTGCACAAATATTAAAGTATTAAAAAGGCCAGAACTTGGTGAGATTTCTCTGTTGGGGGGAGCTGTGTCAGAGTTACTGGTACTAATATCTCTAACATTTTTTATTAACTTTTACATATTTTTCTAGAATATGCTTTTAAGGCCATAAACCAAGGCGGACTTACGTCTGTAGCTGTTCGTGGGAAAGATTCTGCAGTAATTGTAACACAGAAGAAAGTACCTGTAAGTAGTCTGGTTTTGAGGGGGAGGCTGGAAGGAGATGAGGAAAAAGGTGGGGGTGAGACTCTGCAACGTTGATATTATATTTATTAGCATTTACATACTGCTGTTTTAGTTTAATATCTTATTATCATTCTGCTTATTACAAGTTCTAGCTCTGTTTAGTGCTCAACTGTACATTTCCTCAACAAGTACTGTAATACTGGTTTTCTCTGTAGTTGTTGAAGGCATAAAGCTAAAATATGAAGTTGGTCCTGCTGTACTTTAGCATGCGTACATTGCTCTGGCTTGTAATGGCCAAGCCGTCCATAATCAGTTTTGTGATTTCTTTAATTCCTGCTCAGAAAGTGTTACACCAATAGCATGCAGAACAGATACTCATGAGTGTTTCAGCACAGTGGTGATGTATTGTTGACAAAGGGGGAAAACCCTTGTGTTTGAAGGGCGGCATGGAGTAAGAGCACAAGTTTTTGTATGTCTGTTCTCAAAGTTTCATCAGAGGGCAGAGAGGACTTTGATGTTGGTCATGCTCTAGCTGTCATCCTTTTCCAGATATTGCAGGTTTTTATCTTCCCTGTTCTCCTATTTCTTCCTTCACATGCCTATGTAGCAGTAAATAGTGGAGAGCCTGAAAGACAATTTTTAGCTATTAGTTGATTCTTTTGGGCTCTTCTGTAGATACCAGAGCATCCAGAGTCTATCTTTTTTTGTACTTGAAGGATGTGTTTTCTACTAGATTATTTCTGTTTCCTCTTTAGGACAAGTTACTGGATTCCAACACAGTGACTCATTTATTCAGAATTACTGAAAATATTGGCTGTGTGATGACAGGAATGACAGGTATTTAATTCACCATCTTTTCTAAGTATCTGAAGTATGTCAGATTTTTTTATGTAGTTCACCAGCTTTGCATCACTTAAGTGCGTGCTTTAGGAGATTTGTTCCACTCAGTCTGGTTTTGGAGAACTTGTCTAGTTCTGATGTGTATTTTTAAAGACAACGTAAAGTTGGGCATTCTCAAGCAATGCTAGGAATAAACATGGTACATGTTCAGTGAAATTAATATTGGTTCTTTCTGTCTAGCTGACAGCAGATCCCAGGTGCAGAGAGCAAGGTATGAGGCTGCTAACTGGAAGTACAAGTATGGCTATGACATCCCTGTGGATATGCTGTGTAAAAGGATTGCAGATATTTCTCAGGTCTATACGCAAAATGCTGAAATGAGGCCTCTTGGTTGCTGTAAGTATAGTGTATGACATTGATCTTTTCTGTTTCTTGTCTAAGCTTGCAACTTCAAGTATAAGAAATTCTCACCCATTTTCAAATTGTGCGAGATATGGATATAACTGAAGGAGTAAGAGGGATGAACAGTCAAATGAGAGAGCAGTTTTGGAAGTCTTGAATTGGAGCCATGATTTTACCATTGCCTCATTGGACTAAATTATTTAGCCTCTTTAAAATTTGTGATACTATTTCACCTTAGTTTTGGGGGCCTAGTCTGTTTGCACTGCACAGCGATGTCTGTGAATGGGAGATGTTCTTTTTAGTGGTGCTTGTGTCTGGGTAAATATCACTGTTAAAACAGACATATGGAGAGTGCAATTATGTTTGTGCAGATTTTGTGGCTTTTTTATCTAAGTAGTATGTATAGGACAAAAATCTGCATAATTTTTGCTCTTAACCATGATATATATAACATAGAGAAGTGCTTAAAAATACTTCACTTGCAAACATTTCTACATCAGTCTTGTTTTATAACAGCAAATGCAGCTTAAGTGAAAAAAAAGATGTGTGTAAAAGTTGTTTTTTGTAGATATTCCTGGTCATCTGTGTGTTCTGAAGTTGGTTCTGACTTATTTTTTCTCTTACGTTTGGCTGTGAGCAAGTTATAACCGTACTGTTAGGCTGTCCGGGAACTGAGATAAAAGACTTAATGTTTCCTCAATTACTTTTTCATTAAACGTCCTGTCTGGGTTTCTTTTTGTTTGCTTGGGGGTTTTTTGTTGTGTTTTGTTTTTTTCTTTTAAGGAGAATAGTTTCAGAATTGATGAATCACTTCTCGTAATCATAGTAGGCACTAACACTTCTCACTAAAGAAGTAACATTCAGGATTGCACCACAGTTTCCATGATGGGGCAATTTTCGTATGCTTGTAATGTTCAGGAATGATTGTTTCTTTGTTCCCTTGGCATTTCCCATGCCTTGATACTACTGGAAAGTGATTTCTTTTTTTTTTTTCCCCCCTTTAATACATGAATGAAAATGTATTTTTCTTAACTTTCCCTTAACCTCTTTTTTGAAATGACTATGGAAATTTTTTTTTCTGTTGTAGTAATAGCTGCTCAGAAGCTTGCCAGCTATAACTACTAGTTAAAAGTTATGCAAGTGTAAAGAGAAAATCATTTAAAATCTTGACCTTGTTCTGTTTTGGTTTGGGGTTTGGGTTTTTGTTTTTGTTTTTTTTTTTTTGCAAGTATTGCTTTCGAGTTATTTTTCATATGCATATTGAGACTATACAACTGTAAATCTAGAAGTGTGGGTGAACACAGATGCATTTCAGTGATGTGACCAGTTTATGTTATTTGAAGTCTGTCCAACTTGAAAGCATTTAGTCAAATGATCTTCAAAGACTCTTTTTTATGTTCTGATATTTCCACATTTTGTTTCAGATTTTTTTTTCTTTAAAGAAAAGAGGAAAACAGATGTAATGCAGTGCTTTTCAGGATTAAAGAAATCTAAAGTTGATCTTTTGATATGTCCATTAATTTCAACATATTTGTTGAGTTGCTTTCTGGTAAAAGGCACATGTTAATAGAACTATTGTTTACAATTTAAAAGTGTGGTACAATACACAGGAAGTGAACTGTGGCTGGGTTAACTTTGTATCGGCATTAAACTTCTGTACTTCCTGACTTCGTGATTCTCTACACACTGAGCTTGGCAAAAATGTTTCTATGTTTAATGAATAGCCTTCTTTGGGAATGATAGAAGTCTATCATTTGCACTAAACTGAGTCACACACCTGGTAATGAGATGCTGGTAAGAAATGGCAAATTAGAGATGAAGAGGAAATCACAGCTCTAAGTATTGGAGTGGTTCCCAAAAATGTACTGCTGTGCATGCACGTGTTTCACGGGAGGAGAGTATCTATTCTATTCTTCAGCTGAATGAAATTGCTAAAATTGGGGAAATAAATTAACAAATTTTTCTCTTCAAGGTATGATTTTGATTGGTATTGATGAAGAACACGGCCCTCAGGTGTACAAGTGTGATCCGGCAGGTTACTATTGTGGATTCAAGGCCACAGCTGCAGGAGTTAAACAGACAGAGTCAACCAGTTTTCTTGAAAAGAAAGTAAAGAAGAAATTTGATTGGACATACGAACAAACAGTAGAGGTAGGCCAGCAGAGGGAAATAAAGATTTGCTAAAGTATTTTTAGTGAATATGGTGTATGTAGGCTTGTGATATAGAGGAATGCAGTTTGGCATGTCCTGTTTCTTACAGTTCTTTATTACTGCCAGAGCAAGTATAGCAATTCCAACCAGAAAATGGTTCTATTTTGCAAGTGTTTAAATAGTTATCTAATCCGCTTTTTCTGCTTTACATTAGCTGAAGCAGAAGCTGTAATTGTAGTACTCTCGCTGTAGCTGGTGGTGGGTTACTACAGTGCTTGATTCTGGGGATACCAGTACAATTTTCTTTTAGTGGCACTTAAAACAATCTTCATGTTAGAAAGCATTTCTAAGAGGATGGGGTAGTGCTTGTCTGTCAGTTTAGTAAATATAACACCAGCTGTTATGCCTGCTGTGAAAACTGTTGTTCAAGGCCCATTATAAAAATGTATCCTATTTATAAAGTAGGTCAGTGAACTTATTTTGTAATCATCCTCACTTTTTCACTTAACTGTAGAAATCTGTCTAAACAGTCCTCTTCCGTGGCCCACCTGTTCCTCCTACCAGGCCTTGTTCTTCTCTCATAATGTTGTGTTTTCTGCATCACAAGATCAGCAGTTGAAATGAGGAATAATAACCTGAGCAATTGACCCCCCCATAAGATTAAACAGAGTATTGTATTAAGATACATGTGAATGCTATGCAGATTCAGACCTTCAGCTAAATTACTTCTGAAGTCTGCATTACTGTGAAAGTACCATTTAAACAGAAAGTTCTTCAGCATATATTCCTAAGTTTTATTTGTGTATCTTAAGTACTGATGTTCTTAATATGTGATTCCTTAAAAGATAACATCCGGAGAGGGTTGAATAATCATAGCATACTGAAATTGAATGTACTTGAAATTCCCTCAGAGACCCTTTTTTATCCTGGCTAAATAATTTTCACATTATAAGTATTTTTCTGTCACTGCTTGATTATACTGTGCGTGTCTCTTAGTTGAGCAGTTGGAGGTAGATGAAACAGTCTCTTCATATTCCTGTTTTTAATTCATAAAATTTGCATGGTATGGTGCAAATACTTAATTGGTAATTAATCTGCCAGTCAAATCCTGGGTGCACTCCTATACCTTTTTGTTGTCTTCGTTAAAACGATGAGTTTGTGAATGTAGATCAGACACTGTTACTCTGAAAGTTGGCAGTGACAGGGAGAAGCTGGTCTGTCAAGCAAAAGCAAGAATCGTGTTTTTGTAATGTTCTTCACACACACACACGGAGACACTTTTTGTAAAAGCTTGTGGTGCATTAGAGGTAATGGGGTTAGAGGTTAGAGGGGTGTTAGAGGTTTGGGGTTTTTTTTTGTTGTTTGGGGTTTTTTTTAATAACTTGGCAGTCTTCCGATAAGACGTCTATATAGTCTTAGAGAATTATTGCAGAATCGGTGTATTATCAACATATTGAAAATAAACCTTCAAAAAGTTTTGTCTGGTGTTCTATGCTTCCTAACACATTACTGATCAGAATTAAATGCCAGCATGTCAGAATAACTGCTTTGATGAGCATCTGGCTACATAGCTGTTTTATGGAACTTCCTTTTGTGCTCGATCGTCACTTTAGGAATACGTCTTTAGCATATTATGACCCTACTGCAGGGTTAAGTATGAGTGAGGTTGCAAAGAACACCTTTTAAAACAGGTGATGATTAGGGTGGAAATAAAATAAGTTAAGCCATGATGAAATGCAGCTTTTAAAAACAGCCAGTGTAATTTTAATTACCAGAAGAAAAGCCAAAATGGAAGCTATGCAAGTGACATGTGCTTTGAGTAATCTTGGACTGTAATGATGATGTCTGTTGTCTTTACCACTAATGAAATATGTTCTGTCCTTGGGACCTGGGGTGTTAATCTTTGCATGAGGAAAGGTTTTGGTTTTGTTGTGGGTTTTTTCTGCTACAAAAATAACGTGTCCCTTTGTTTTTTGTAGATTGGGCTTTTTAGGGAGAGGACCAGAGAGGGACTGTGTTCTGTAACAAGGGGAAACTTATTTTAAATTTTTCAGCTGAGGTTTTGAGGTAGAAGGAAATAAAACTAGAAGGAAGGGTAGTTGTTAATGCTATGTCTATTTTAAAAAAAAAAAAAAAAGCCTTAGTGCTTTCTGTTTAATGATAGGGGTTTTTGTTGTCTTTCAGACAGCAATAACATGCCTGTCTACTGTACTATCCATTGATTTCAAACCTTCAGAAATAGAAGTTGGTGTAGTTACAGTGGAAAATCCTAAATTCAGGTAAGTGATCAGTGTTGATAAAACTTGGTGTGTTTCATTGGTTATGTGCAATTAGTTTTAACTTCTTGTGTAATGGTAAATTGAGAAAAAGGGAGATATGTCAGAAGCTGAAGTTTTGGAGGTTTATTTTTTTTTACTTGTAACTCTTCAAAATGTGTACCGGTAAAAGACACTGTTTTTAAAAAAAATAATATCTTAACACAGTTTTAAAATGTTTGACATGGTTAAGGGATCCAGTAGAGGAAAGTGTTGTCTTTTAATAAAAGTTTTTATTTTAAAAAAAAAAAAAAAAGAAAGAAAAGAAAGGAACAGCTACGTGGGAAAGAAAAGTCCTCTGCTGCTTTAGTCTAGCTACTTGGTAGGTGGGGATTGGAGAGAGGATTCAAACCTTTGGGTCCTACAGGTGCAGTCTTTTGAGTGCTTCCTAATGTGTTTAAAGTTGATGTGGTGATGAGGGATGGTTTTGCATTTGGTGGTGTGTGTTTAGGACAACAGAATAGCATGGCATTTTTGAGAAAGCATGCAGGAGCTGCATTACCCCTTTGCTGCTGCTGCTCAAGGGTCAAGTGCTAGCTTTCTGCCAAACTTCATTTACTGGTCTTGCGTTCTTTTCAGAAAGGATGGATAACAAGCAGAGGGAGAAGGCTATGAAAACCTGTGTCCCCCTTGGAGTTACCATACTAATCACCATAACCATTCTTCTCACCAGGTCCCAGCTTGCAAATATATTACTCATGAGGAATTACCTGTTCTTTTTCTACCATTTGTTACCTCTTTGCTCTCCAGTGCCTTTGATTCTTCCTTTATTTTTCAAAAAGAATTGGAATGTCGGCCTGTGGCCCTGGCAGCGGGGCTCTAAAGGGCTGAAAGATGTATTGTATAAAACTTATTTGTGTAGATATTAGGTTGTAATATTGGAGCTTAAGGGGAAGAATCATGTAAGCTATTTAAGATTTCTTTTTGTTCTTTCAGGATCCTTACAGAAGCAGAGATTGATGTGCACCTTGTAGCTCTGGCAGAGAGAGACTAATTAGCATTCCCATTTCCATTGTCTGTGCTTCTGGCCAGGATATTTGGTGAAAAGAAAACACTTATTAATGGCTTTAGATTATGGGTGGAAAACAGTGTTCACTATATGATGTATTTTACTCTGTACAAATAAAACAGAGGTTTTTGAAATACTTGGTGTCTCCTTTTAATGTAATTTTTTTTAACTTTCAGTTCTATGAAATTCTCATCAAAATCCTTGATGACTTTGAATGTTTCTGTGATGATTGCTTGCCTTTTAGTTGTATTTTAAGAGAAATTTTGTACTCTGCGCTGTATTTTTCATCTGAGCTATTTGGCTCCTACTGTAAAGTTTTCTATCAGATCATGTGGTGTGTGTCTTGAGATAATTCTTACATTTACATGCGTTCTCTTCTTGTCCTGATGTTGAAAGGCTTGTAACATTGCTTGTTTAACTGTGGGGAGATTGAGAAGATCTTAATATTTGCTCAGGTTTGTATGAGGATATAGGACAAAAGTTGAAGGAAAAAACTTTGGCTGTGATTCCCAGTGCATTCCTTTAGACTGATTTAGTTGGGGTGCAGGTAGTGAATTTAACTGACATCTGCTATAATTAAACAGCTCTGAAGCTAATATTTATTTAGGGGAACAGATTCTGTATGCAGTGCACTTTGGGATTTTGGCTGTTTGTCTCCTACCTGGTTTTTCAGGCTTTGGGCAGTGCCAGAAACAATGTTGGGGCTGGATGGGGCCAACAGACAAAGTCCATCAATAAGAATGTCTCTGGGAAGCCATTCCCCTTGCTCCTCCAAAGGTTCTGGGTTAGGGGAAAAGAGAAGACTGCAAAAACTTGAGTCAAGGTGAAGAAAAATGCATTTTTGTTTTGCTGCGATTGAAGAGGTTTCAGCCTTAGCAGCAAAAAGGGAGACGACGAAGTTGTGAGGGAGGAGACACTGAGAAGAAAGGGAAGGTTGCCAGGCATTTTTAGCTGTTGGGTAGACGTGAGAGTCTTCTTGGAAGAATGCCAAGCTAATATGACTTAACTCCATTCCTCTGCTGTGCTATTCCTATATTGGCTTTAATTACTCCAAAATTTTCTTTGTTTTTTTGGGTTGGGGTTTTTTTGGGGTTTTTTTTTTTGAGACCTTTGGGGAAGGCCTCCTAAGTCATCAGAAACTGGGATTGCTTAATTTTTTTCTTTTGCTTTAAAGCCCCTTGAATGTGTATTTTTCAAGTTCACTGTAGTAAAGGAGATGCAATTCTGTGTTTGGTGGTTTTAATAAAAGATAACGCTAACCTTATGAGTTATGGTTATAACCTTATGGTAACTGAGTTGAGGAGATTCAAATGTACTGTGAATTGTTGACTTTACAAAGCTTCCTGAATTTCCATTAATGCCTCCAAATTTCAGTTTCCCTCATGTCAGATAGTGTAGTATAGATGATAAGATGAAGCCACCCTTCCTTCTGGTTTTGGGTTGGTTATCTGAGAATTCCGTGTGGTTTTGTGCAACGATTGGCAGAACAAATACTAATGGCATATTTGGAATGGTCTGTGTCATTCCAAGTGACAGCTGAGTTTCTGAAACTTCCTAGGACCTTTCTTCCTAATACTCTAGTTGTATAACAACCTGGAATTTGAGTAGACCTAAGTCATCATCTACTCTGCCATAAAATATAATCCACTGATACTTTGTTTTTGATCAGTTTTAATTATGTATATAAAACTTCACTAATGACTTCTTGAACAAAACAAATTAAAAGGAAGATGACAGTCGGGGAGCCGTATTACTAGAGCACATTTGCATAGTATTTAGTCTTAAAACTCCCTGCAACACGTTTAATTGTAAATTTTGGAGCTTGTATGTGATTGTATAACCTAGGTGGTGGTTCTGAGAGCAATGGGTGTTTGTTCATACCTTACGCTTTTGCAGTGCAGAACATCCCATCTTGTGTTCAGAGATGATGAAATAAGCTATCTACAATATATCAGCTGTGAACGTTGCATCTTTTTTTTTAATAAGGAAAGTTAAAGTTGCAGCAACTGAAATGCCATTTTTGCTAGTATTTTGTCCTCTAGTGAAAATCCATGGTTCTCTTTTCACACTAGTGATGGGGATTTTTCTTCTTCAGTCAAAGCTTTTTGTTCTTTAAGATAAGGCAGCTACGCAGATGGGGATACCCTACCTAATGGGAAACCCCCATGTATTACACATACACATGACCACGTTCCTCACACCGGGGAGCAGACAGAGTTTGGTTGCAGGTACTATCAGCCATGGCTGGTGTTGAACCGTACCTGGTATCACCTGCTGTTCCAAACCTGGCACTTGCAGAGAAACTGGAGTATGCATGATATGATCCTAACACTTCTGCTTCGGGTACAGCTTATCAAGAGGGATACCTGACTTGGGCTTGCTCCATCTATTTGTGGTTTGTTGTGCCAGTCCTGAAAACTGGTAGATGCAGGTACAGTGAGACTGCACAAGTAGTTAAGCAGGAATAGGATCAGGTCTTATTCGCATACTAGACACAGATCAGCGTTAGCTGTACTAAACTCGGACTGGCTCTACGCAGCCTTGTAACTGCGTCAATGTGTTACATTCCCAGTGCTCTTTATTTGTGGTGTAGAGTGTAAGGATGCAAATGCCAAGTACATGCAGTCAGCTTAGGTAAATCAGTATTTACTGGACTCTGTGAAAAGCATCTGGATTTCCTATGAGCATACACCCCACCCCCCCTGCTCCCAGGGGGGCCCCAGAAGCAGTAACGGCATGTCTTAAAGACAGAAATAGCTTAGTAGGGAATCTTAACATAAATAGTCTGTGGGTCATCAGGACCTGTGTGTGCATTCATCCTGGAAACAAGAGATGTTAAGGCAGGCAGTAATGAACCTCTCTAGGATTTCAGATACTTCTGAAGTGCAGCATGTGGTACTGAATCAACTTGTAATGCACAATGTTAGACCGTACCTTTTCACTGTAAAGCCTCCAGTGATGATAGTCTAAGCACAGAGAGGTAGAGGGGGAGTTTAGGTGGAGCAAGTACATGTAGATATATTACAGCAATTTTAATGACATGCAATAGTATGCTGCATTCTTCTCTACCTTCTATGTCCTGTTTCTCATTAAGCCAATGTCCAGGTGTACCAAATGAGAAATATTTTGGTTCAGTGTACATTCTTGGAAGTAAGATGAAAGAACTAGATCTGCAGCTTGCTGGCATCTGAAGAAAAAAAAAAATTAACTTCCCCATTATATTTTTTTTCCCCTGACACACAAGCAAAGCCTGCTATTTTGAGTTCTGTGAAACAGCAGCCTTGTTGGCTCATGAGATCGTTTTGTGAAGTGTATCCATGACAGTATTTATGTTTTCTTCTAGAAAAAAACCCTACACTACCAGGGTAATAACAGTAGGGGCATTGCTTTCATTTTGTAATCAGTGATACTTTTTTTTTTTTCAGATGGGAAGTTCGTAAATTATCATAGCTTGTTCCAGCCAGTTCTTGCTAGTAACAATTTGTTCTGCCCTTTTGTTTTGCTGTAACCTAAACTATTTGGAAACCATGCGAGACATCCTGTAGTTCAGGATCCGTTGGAACAGTGAACTTAAACCTCTCATGCCCAAACTAAAACAAGGATCATCACATGCTTATGCAAAGCTGCTTAAAATAGCATCTGGATTTTGTTTATCATCATTCTCACATTTAAAAAAAAAAAAAAAAACCAAACAAAATACTTTTCTCCTGTCCTTTGTACTATGTCTGTACAGATAAACTTGCATTTAAGAAATGACCAACAAAAACCTCAGTTAATAGCAGTATTTGCTGCTGTTCCCCAAGCTTTTCTTAGCATAGCAATCTTTTCTCTAGTACTAGTCTTACCTGTGTCACCATCATCTATGAAAATTCTGTGCTACAATGTTAAATATGGGAACTGTAATGTACTTGACTGTAAACCTGATGAATAAATGGACCCACTATATCACCAAGTTAAAATCCAGCTAAGTGTGTTTGGCAGAATTGAGTCACTTATGAAGAAGTGTGTGCTTCCATTTTTTTGGGTTAGTATTTTTCTCCTGGTCCTTTCTAGAACCTGTCAGCCGTAGCTGAGTTCCCGGCGCTGCAGATGCACTACACAGCCTTGCTGTGCAACTCATTGTGGCTTAGCTGATATAATATACGTTGAACCACAAGCCTCTGGAGTCAAGTTTCCTAGCTAAGGGTTTAGCAGCATAGTATGCAGTGCAGATTAGGACATACAAGTATTCCCCCCCCCCCCCCCCCCCCCCAGCAAATTGTTTTCTCTCCCAGAAAACTGCCTCTTGTGACACCCGCCGGCATATAGGGTTGTGAACATAAGGTATTTAATCCTTTATGGGACTCCTTAGACTAGAAAGCCACCCTCTCTCAAGTTAGAGAGTCAAACTTGGTAGTTGTGGATGGAGAAACATGGCATGAATGTGCATGGACTGAGATTGCATGGGCAGGAATGGGAATCCCTTTGGGTGACATCTGATGTTGCTGTGATGTTTGCAGGTCCGCTCGTCCTCCTCCCTGTTTTGATCCCAACTATGTCCGCCCTCTCCCTTCAGCCAGCACCGGTGCTCATTTTACATTTGTAATGAGCCGTTCTGTTTACTAAACTGATGGCAAACATTGTTTTGTTTGGTTCAGTTCTCTGTTGGATTAGTGACCTGAACTGGCTCACTGTAGGATCAAATGAGCCATAGTGCTGGCAGAAGGGAGGGAAGAGGGAAATGGGATTGCACTGCCTCTGATTTGAGCTGCTGCGGAAACCACAGCCTGCATCACCAAAGGAACAGGAGTAGCCACAGCTCCTTATCCCCTTGACCGCTCTTTGACGTAAGCCTATACGGTGATGCCTGGTCCACCAAAGGACCTGCCTCTGTCAGCAGGTGATACAAGCCTTCATCCGAGCAGCACTGAGACTACCCCTTGACTAGGCAGGGTCTAGTCTGAAGAAGGTTACTTTGGGGATGGTGCTGTTACAGCAGCTCCTCCCCAGTTCCTCTGCTCCTACACCCGTTGTGTAGCCCAGCCATTTCCAGGGCTACTTGGGGAACCTGATTTGGAAATGAGGCTACGTTTGAAAAAAAAAAAAAATTCAATTAGAAAATCCCTCCAGAGAAGTATCCTGAACTCAGTTTGGA